TACCATTTCTTCCTGAGGTTGGTAAGGTTGCTACCTGGTTCAGAAGGTATAGAGTATGGGGAGAAGATGATAGATAATCGTTCATTTGGATGGATTGGGAGAACAAGAGAATAATCTATAAAGAGAAATTTCGAAAGAAATATTATGTGAGCTGTTCTTAAACAAGATTTCCCAAATGGACGAGGTGGACTTTGAAGGTGGTGAGATAAGAGAGAAGAGAGAAGAGAGAAGAGAGATAAAGTAGGGTGGACTAACGTATATCGCCAATGGAAGGACCACTGAAACATCTTAATATCTCTGCTGAAGAACCACCATCATCAGAAACGGGTAAAACGAATGCTGGTGAATGTCCGAATGCAGAAGCTATAGAATTAGCTCCTGTCCCACCTGAAATCACTAAGTATGATAATGGGGACATTGTTAGGGTTTGTTATGATCGTGGTTGGGTTGTCACCATGACTAGGTTATCGACTTGTGCAGGCGATCTCGGAGCGGGCGTCCCTTCCGTAGGAATCCGTGATCCGTGATCCGTGAGTGCCTGTTACGGGAAAAGTCAGAGTGAGGTATCTATCGTAAGTGCCAGTAACATAAGATTGCAAAGAGATAAGGGGGATGCGGATGTGAAAGCTGTGGAGAATTGCAGAATGCGGGTGGCTGATGCTGCATGCGGCACAATATGTTCCGAAACTGACCCAGTGTGACTAAAAAATCACACAAAGCGTAACCAAACATTCACACAAAGCGTGACGAAGGGTGATTCAATTGAGAGTGAAAATGGTTTATAAGACGCAGGTTCCCCTTCTCTCTCATCTACTTTTTACCTCGATTATCAACACAACTTGACGAATAATTGCTATACGCTACACTTGCTGGTGAGTTCTCTCATTGAGACACCGACCACCTTGACAGATCCAACTTGATTATACTGACACATATTGACATATAAGACATGACTTCATCTGACTCCTAGATTTTGATTTTTATCGCTGGAACCGTTATTTGTATCGATTTTGAAACCGTGATTTTTATCGACTCTGGAACCGTGATTCTTATCGACTTTGGAGCCGTGATTTTTATGGATTTTGAAACCGTGATTTTTATCGACTCTGGAACCGTGATCTTCATCGACTGTTTTTTATCGACTTTGGAACCGTGATTTTTATCGGCTTGGAACCGTGATTTTTATCGACTTGGAACCGTGGTTTTTATCGACTTGGAACCGTGGTTTTTATCGACTGCTAGGACGTGACTTTATCGATTCATCAGGCATCATTCAGTAACACACCAACGTATCACTCCTACACACAAAATCCATTCATTATCACCCCCCTGTACCAGTACTGTTAGGTATCGCCGCTCCTAGAGGCCACGGAAGGTCCTTTCAGTACAACAGCCCTCACACCATGTCTCCCTCAGATTCCAACCATTCCGATGTCCTTGAAGTCAACAGCAACAATCAGATTCTTGGATTAGGTAGTACAAGTGTTGTTGGTGTGGATTGTGGGATGTCTGAAGTGAGTAACCATTTCGAACATTACCCTTCTTTTCCCATTACACATCGATTGAGTATCCACCAACCCCTCGCCATCCAAGTGATCATTTCCCTCCCCCATCTCCTAATTGTACAATCCACACAACTACCTGGTTGTTTAATTGTTAGGTTATTAGGGGAAGCTATGCCATTTTTTTCTGTTGTACGGCAATGCTGACACCTCAGTCAAAAAAGAAGAGAAACAACAAGCGGAGATCCAAGCAAGGTAGAAGTGATGTGGGAAAACGTTTGCGTAACAATCATCTTGTTTGTGAGTTGGCTTCTTCTTTCCCTTTGCTTGAGAAGGATTCTGACTATCAGTCACGTACAAATGCATGTTCCCCAGACATATCATCCTCTATCTTGCCACACCCAAGGTCATTGATCATGAGACAAACTTCGATCATATTGTTGTTGACCTTTCGTCCATGATCAAAACCCTCTCAATTACATCAGCTCTGGACATCCCTCCCAACCATACCCTAGGCCAACACGACTTTGCCATCCCACATCCTGATCCTTCTTCAACAGAGCCGAAACACCTTGTCCTTTTTTTTAGGCAGTTCTTTCTTCCAGGAAGCTCTCACCTAAGAGCTATTCAGGAGGCCTATGATGCAGTACTAGCTGTAAGTTCACTCCTCTCATGTTCTCTAAGTCAAGACTAATCTCAGACCGGACTCAAACCAAAAACAAGCAAGGATAATCGTAATCCCAATCATCATGCTTATCATCTTGGAATATGGTCCGGCTATGACAACTATATCTTTGCTTCCAGTGAAACTCAGCACCACAATAGTGAAGCTGATCCATACAAGAAAAATGGTGACGAGAGGAAAGCTACACTTCAGGCCAATGCAGTGAAACGACTCATGTAAGAGCTTACATACATAGTGTTACGGGGTAACAACGAATCGAGGGAACTCTATCGAGTTCGACGGATTAGTACAGAGGAAAGCGGGAGTTGGAGGCAGTGCTGCAGTAGGTAGGGACGGGTTTTCCCCTTTCGAGATTTTCCCCACTGGGTTTGCTCAAAGCGGTTTTTCACCTGTCCGAGTATGTACATGGACGCTTGCAGTAGGACTGAGAAGAGGAGACGGATACCTGTAGACAGTATATAGTACAATCAGCAAAGTACCAACTTTGCTGATTCTTCAATATCATTCTTTGGCTACATCGATTGCAGAGGAGACACGATCCATTAGCACCAGAGCCCCTAGACTTCCACGAGACCTCCATCGAGTTCGACCCAACCTGCGACCTAGTCGTCGTGTTTCCAGTACCGTTACAAGTTGAAGAATCAGCCTTACGCACCTTGGGTCGAATCGGAGAGTACTGTATGCTCACCAGAGGGAAAGCGCGGAAAATGATACCAGAAAAAGAGGAGTTGGAACAAGGGCTGGTCCCAGAGGAAGAAATACCAACAAGTTCTTCGAGAAGTACCATTTCACATGATCTCACTTCTACTACCACTACCCCAGATCCGCTAAATGAATTATCGCAGCAGTTGTCACAATTGTTAGCCATTATGACGATGCAACAAAAGGAACAAAATACATTAAGGGAAGAACTGGCTACGATGAAAGCTGACCGACAGAACCAACAGATACTCACATCGAAAGGGGCAAGTTTGATCGAAGTCGAAGAAAACAAGCCGTGTTTGGAGCCAAAACTTACCAACAACGAACGAACAGGAAGAACCAGGTGTGCGGATCCACCTACCTTCAGTGGAGAACGAGGAGAATTGGACAACTTCCTTGCAGCATGTCACATGAACTTCGAATTCAAAGGGGCAGAGTACGCCACCGATCGCAGAAAGATCCTGTTCATGTACGGGTATCTTCGAGGCACCCCTCAAATGCTTATAACCCCGGCCATAACCAATCCAAGTATATGGAATTCGACCGAATGGCTAGAGAGCTACGACAAATTCATTCAGCATTTACGAACTCAATTTGGAGATAGTAACATGGCAGGTACGGCTATGAGGAAATTGCAAGAGTTAAGACAGACTGATACGGCCGCCGAGTATTTTGCCAACTTCGAACTTTGGTCCACACACCTTGGAAAGGTACCAGATGCAATGAAAATCGCCTCAGCCATACAGGGCCTGAAGGAAGAGCTACTGAAGGTGGTAGTGGTAAATAACACCGACCCTCGAACCAAATCGGACTGGATCTATTTCAAACAGCATGTGATAGGGACTGAGGAGAACCAACGGATGGCTGAAACGATGATTGCAGCGAATCGATGGGCTGCTAGACGCAAACATGAGACGACCTGGCTTCCCCCTCGATCGAATTCGACGCGATTGGATACTAGTTTGCCCAACCCGGTAGAACGCTACTCACAATCGACTGGTAGAGGACCCTTGCCCGGTGGAAAACCAGGGATGATGAATTATGGTCTACCAAATGACCCTCCGGTCACTTGGACAGAGGACGGAGGACGTCTCAGCGAGAACGAAATGACTTGGAGGAGGGAGAACCGACGTTGTCTCAAATGTAGAAGTCCAGAACATTACGCCAACAACTGTCCAAATGGAGGAACTACGAGAAACCACATTAGGGGATCCCCAAACCCGCATAGCTCACCGATTCCTAGTGGATCGAACTCGATCCCAACTGGGTCCAAAGGGCCATTAGTTCGAGGAATGGCGGTGACCTTTGAAGAAGAGGGAAACGACTACCTGGCCTAAGTGATGCGACCACTTGCGGCCAGGATCTGCCCGGATCGCAGAGAATTCAAATACCAATAGATCTCAGTAATGACTCGGCCATAATATATATAAAAATACAAACAAAGAAAGATACCCTACAGATTGGAATGTTAATCGATACCGGGGCTACAGGAAGGTATGTGCAGCCGGCCTGTCCATTATACCATCTATTCCCAAAGAAACAATATCAGGTACCACGAAAAATTAGGTTCCTGGATGGAACTACCGCGACCTTAGTGACCGAATATGTAGAAGCAGAATTAGATCTAGGAAAAGGACTCAGGATTGCAACTCGACTGGATGTTATGGCATACGAAGGACCAGAAGTACTAGTAGGACTAGATTTCTTGAGACAGTTTAGGGCAAGGATCGATTGTGGAAAGGGACTGATCGAATTCGACGGAATTGGACGAGATACTGGTTGGAAATACCCAAGATTAGAAGAAGGATTAATAAGAGGAGCAACACTGGAGAAAGGGGAGGACGAAATGAGTGAGGAGGAACTGCGACAAATCATACCGACACAATGGCACCAATACCTCGAATTATTCAAGGTAGAAAGAGCAAGAAGACTACCACCAAGAAGAGAATGTGACCACGAAATCGAATTAGTAGCAGGGGCTGAACTAAAACCAGGACCAATTTACCAACTGGACGAGCATGGGGATGCTTTCCTGAAGCAGTGGATCAATGATGGACTGACTAGTGGACATCTGCGAAGAAGTAAATCGCCCTATGGGTCCCCAGTATTCCTGGTCCCCAAGAAAGGAGTCATTCCCTATCGAGTAGTTACAGATTACCGGGCACTTAACAAGGTAACCATCAAGGATTCATACCCAATGCCACTCATCTCGACACTACTCGATCGACTTCAATTAGGAAGGATCTTCACTAAACTCGATTTGAAAGGGGCTTACCAGTTAGTCAGAATAAAGGAAGGAGATGAACATAAAGCTGCCTTACGAACAAGATACGGCAGTTTCGAGAGCACAGTCCTAAGGGATGGGTTGTGTAATGCACCAGCCACCTTTCAGAACTTTCTACAAGACATGTTTCACGATCTACTTGACGAAGGGGTAGTAGTTTATATCGACGACATCACGGTATACTCCGACACGATCGAAAACCATCAGATCATTGTCCAAAAGGTGTTAGATCGACTACTTGAAAACGATTTGGTCGTCAGTCCGAGGAAATGCGAATGGAGTTCAAATGAAGTGAAGTTCCTGGGGTACGTAATAGGACACGAACGGATCGAAATGGATCAAGAAAAGGTGAAAGCTATTCTAGAATGGGGAGAACCCATGACAGTCCGGGATACTCAAGTGTTCTTGGGTTTTGCGAATTTCTATCGGAGGTTTATCAAGGGGTTTTCGCATATTGTGGGACCTCTCACACGATTGACTAGGAAGGATCAAGCTTGGAACTGGACACAAGAATGCCAAAAGGCTTTTGACGATCTAAAGAAAACATTCACCACAGCACCAGTACTTCGACATTTTGATAGAACCCGACCGACTTGGATTGAAACCGATGGATCCGATTGCGCGATAGGTGCGATAGCGTCTCAGAGATTTCCTCACCCATCAATAAAAGGAACCACCGAACTTCACCCAGTAGCGTACTGGTCTCGAGCAATGACGCCCTGTGAGCTAAACTACACGGTGGGAGAGAAAGAATTATTAGCCATCGTGGATTGCTTGGTCGCCTGGAGACCCTACTTGGCTAACAGTAGTGATGTTATAAAGGTCATTACCGATCACAAGAACCTAGAATACTTCCAAAGCAAACGACAACTAAATCGAAGGCAGATGAGATGGTTGGAAATATTGGGAGACTTCAACATAGAGATCACTTATCGACCAGGGAGCAAAAATGGGGGAGCAGATGCTCTGACGAGACGAGGAGATTATCATCCGGGAAGAGGGAGTAGCAAGGACCCGAATCTTAACAAAGGCAACTGGCTACAATTGCTACCGACACACGAACAAATTGGATCGAATTCAATGGACTCAGAACACAAAGGACCAAGACACATAGTAAGAGGAGCAATCCGGGAAGACTCATTATTCGGACTCATCAAGAACGGACTGAAAGACTCAGAAGACATAGCAAACATACGACAACTAGGACTACAGATGACTCAGACACATAGCACACAGAGCACACAGAGCACCCAGAACACACAGGACACACAGGACACACAGAAGACACAGGCTAGCAACGAGACACCAATAGTATCATGGACACAGAGCGGATTACTCTTGTACAGAGACAGAGTAGTCATACCAGAGGGACAGGCAAGATTAGAAGTAATGAAAGCAAGACACGATTCGATACTAGTGGGTCATCCAGGAAGAGACAAAACTATCACCATGGTCAAAGAGGACTATTACTGGCCACATTTGGACGAGTATATTGCAAAATACGTAAAAGGATGTGAGATCTGTAACCGACATAAGACTCATCGACATCAGCCGTATGGACATCTGGTCTCTTTACCAGTACCCACACTGCCCTGGACAGATATCTCTATGGATATGGTGGGACCCCTACCAAAATCGACCGAGTTCGACGCGATACTCGTGATAGTCGATCGACTAACCAAGATGGCTAGATTTATTCCATGTACAACTGGACTAACAGCGAACAAAGTGGCCGACATCTACATCAAGGAGATCTTTTCAAAACATGGAGTACCTCGAACAATTGTGTCAGATAGGGGAACTCAGTTTACGGCGGAAATTTGGAAGGAAATATGTCAGTTCTTGGGAATAAAGAACTTATACTCGACTGCGTATCACCCTCAAACAGATGGACAAACTGAGCGAGTAAATCAACAGATGGAAATCCTGCTCGGAATGTATGTAAACTACAACATGGACAATTGGGATCAACTTCTACCAATTGCTGAGTTCGCTTATAACTGTTCGCCACATAGTAGCCACGGGCTGTGTCCCTTTGAAGCCTGTTACGGCTATGTGCCACACTACGACATCCATTCGCACGATATTCGATCAAAGTCAAACAAGTTGGAGAGGAAATGGAGGGATATGGGAGAGTTACATGCGGCTGTTCAAGAACAGGTCAGGATGGCTAATGAGATTAGTGCCGAATACTACAACAGGAGACACAAGAGTGTACCAGAAGAATTCAGAGAGGGAGAACAGGTACTACTGAGTACGAAGTATCTTACGACGGAAAGACCCAGTCGAAAATTAGAAGCAAAATACGTTGGCCCCTTCAAGATCATAAGGAGAGTGGGGAAAAATGCTTTCGAATTAGATCTACCTCCATCAATGAGAGTGCACAATGTCTTCAATGTCACGTTGTTGGAACCATATCCTAGAGACATGATACCAGGTCGACAGATACAACCCCCACCACCTGTAGTAATAAACGGCCAGGAGGAATTCCATGTGGAAGCAATTGTGGACAGTAGAATTCGACGAGGAAAGGAGGAATTCAAGGTAAAATGGTTAGGATACACAGGGAATGCGGCCTATGACTGGGAACCACGAGAAAATGTAGAAGAGTTGGCCGTTTTTGGTGAATTTCTGGAAAAGAGGAAAAAAGATCCCAGAAGAAAGTGAGAATTCGATCAAAATCAACGGAATTTATTGGGAAATAAATACATACACAGGAAATATGGCTACGTATAGAGAGATATAAAATACACTAGAAGTTGGAGGTGGTAGAATTGGCTCGGGGACGACGGACCGAGGCGGGAATACGAATGACATTGCGGGGGAGAGGAGTATGGGGAGAAGAGGAGGGACCGGCGACTGGTTGAGAAGAAGTCAATCCGGTTGGATCAGCAGCAGAGGTGAGATGATCCAAGGTTTCAGAAGGAGAGGGAGGGGCGTAGTTGGAAGGAATGAGATGAAGAGATTTGTAGAGGCCCAGATGTACTGGGGGAAGAGGAAGAAGGAGAGAGGAAAAGAGGTGGATGTAAGCGGAGAGTTGGGTGAGAGAAGAGGATTGATCCTGGGAGGAAAGGGATCGATATCGGGCCGAGACAGCACAGAGTTCGTGCTCCAGGACGAAGGTAACCTTGGAAGTAACAGTCTGGGCTCCGACAGTAATACCCTTTACATCAACATCGACCAAGTTCGAAGGAAGAAGATAGATACCTCGCGAAATTTGGACTCAGGATTGTTGGTTTTCACCGAACACTTTGAAGTTCCCTTCGCGGAGCACTCTCCACAAACACCACCAACTAAGTTGCATCAATATCGAACAGGAAGAGTAGGAAGACTCACGAGGACCGATACAACCTACACGAAAATCTTCTCCACCATCGAGACGACGCTGGCAATCGGAGCAAAGCTCACCCTCGAGACGGACAACAGCGCCATTCTTGTTACGAAGTCGCCAACCTTGGGCCAAGCGATCAAGCTAACAGTTAGAATTCGGTGGAATACGAAGGAGAAAAAGCTCACGGCGTTACCAAACCACTTGACAGTGGGCTTGATGGCCCCAGTCTCGCGAAAGCGATCGAGGGCTTCATCCTTCAGAGCGTGACGAACAGAGGAGAAAGAAAGGCGGGCCCAGAGGGTAGCTGACGAGTCAGAAACGCACAGAATTCTGTAGAAATCTCACCAATTTCCGAGTCTTTTCGAGCATCCAGAGCCTTAGCAAGTTCATCATTGACCGGAACCTTGCGAGGGGCGTGAAAAATGGTTTCGAGTTCATGGGGAACCTCGACAAGCCCCTCGGAATCAGAAGGTGGCACAGGGGACTTATTACCAGGAGAATTTTGATTTTCAACGATGGTACCGTGTTCGGACTCGACAGATTTCGCAGGAGATAGGTTCTCACCAGTGGTAGATGGCCCTGCCCCCGCTTCGAAGTCGATATATTGCTCGATGACCTCGTCATCGAGAAGAGACGATTGTTGGTCGCGAGAAGGGCCGGATTGATATCGATCCTTAATGGTGTCGAGAGCCCTTCGAGAAGCGTCAACCAATGGAGGTTGAGAGGGAACTGGCGCTTGGGAGGTAATTCTCATTCTTTTCGTTTGACGCATGAGAAGTTCGGGATCGACGTCGGGGAGAATGGCCACAGTAGAGGCCCGAGTTTGACGAGAAGAGATAGACGAGGACAACTAATCTCGTCAGCCAGTGATAAACAGGAGGAAGTGCATCGAATTCGAAGAGAATTGCTTACAGTACGCTTAGACATGCTCACAGACAGGTCAGAGTTGGAAGGATGCTCTAAGATATGAGTAAGATATGGATGGATAATGATAGATAAGTAAAAAGAATGACAAACAAGAGGTAAAGAGAGAATGAGGAGGAAAGAAGAGAAAAAGACGGGGAGGTAACTTGGTCAGTAATTTCTCGATCACATTGGAGGTCCGTGCGGGTGACGCGTTTTCATGGCAACCGTCACACTAGCGTGGGTATGATGTCAGGGCGCACCAAAGGTGTCTGAGAACAATCCATGTGCATCACCTGGTTACAGGGTTCAGGATCCTCGGCGAGGATCCTTGAGACAGGGGGGGAAACTTGTTACGGGGTAACAACGAATCGAGGGAACTCTATCGAGTTCGACGGATTAGTACAGAGGAAAGCGGGAGTTGGAGGCAGTGCTGCAGTAGGTAGGGACGGGTTTTCCCCTTTCGAGATTTTCCCCACTGGGTTTGCTCAAAGCGGTTTTTCACCTGTCCGAGTATGTACATGGACGCTTGCAGTAGGACTGAGAAGAGGAGACGGATACCTGTAGACAGTATATAGTACAATCAGCAAAGTACCAACTTTGCTGATTCTTCAATATCATTCTTTGGCTACATCGATTGCAGAGGAGACACGATCCATTAGCACCAGAGCCCCTAGACTTCCACGAGACCTCCATCGAGTTCGACCCAACCTGCGACCTAGTCGTCGTGTTTCCAGTACCGTTACACATAGCCAAAGTCTTGCTAATGGATAGATGCACTCTAAGAGCAGCCATGGGTGCTAGTCTTTACCACAAGCTCCGTGACATTGATCCTCAGACTGCAGTGAGAATGCGACTTGTAGGTGGAACATTGGCAAAGGCGTCGGAGACAGTGAATCCAGCTCAGAGAGAAAAGGATGAAGCTAAAGCAGAAGAAGAAGGTCGTAAAGTAAGTTCTTATCATTGTTCAAATGACAAATAACTAATTGCCAGGCTAAAGTGATTGCACATGGTCAGGTTATCACAGAAGATGCTGCGAAGAAATTGAAACTTGGTCTCAATTCAATGGTTGCAGTAAATGAGGGGACTTCATCAACGTGGCATTATGATGGGGAAGATGATGATAAGTTCTATACAATAATACTGGTGACCGGAGATGGAGATTGGGGACCGGAAGATGGTGTCATGGAGATTCCTCAACTCGGACTTCGACTATCCCTTCGTCCAGGTGACGTCTTCTGTTTTCGTAGCAAAATTCTTCTTCATTCTGTCACACCTGTCCCAGCTCACTGTCACCGCACCTCCTTCACCTTCTTTGTCTCTGAACGATCCACATCTGTAATGAAGAAGGCATGGGAGGAAGATTGTGATCATTTTGTAGATACAAGTATGTGGTAGACAATTATATGCATTCCGAGAATTTCCTCAATCAATTTCTTCATGCCTGGGTTTCTTTCTCTCTTCAACAATCTTTCTCTACCGATGTAATTGTTTGACCACAAGCCATCCCATCTCTATCTATCACTTTGCCCCATTGTCATATCTGTATCTGTGCTGATGAGGAGATCAGCATTGCACTACGCAAGGAAGGTAGAATTGTCACTCACTTACTCCATGAAGGGGAGTTGTTGTCGGCGCATCTCATCCTGCTGAGCAAGCCTTCTTGTTGTCCCAACTCCGTTCTTCTCCTGATCTCTTCTCATAACCCGTTCCATGGGAAACCCTGGCTGAAACATCAAACCAGAAAGGGTTTTGACCCGAGATGCTGCTACAAATGTCAGTCCTGTTGCAAACTCTCTTGCCCCGAGGTCGATCTTCACTTGATCCATGGTCATTCCTTGGGATTTGTGAATGGTGATTGCATATGATAACTGGAGGGGAAACTGAGTGCGAGAGCAGGACCCAGATGGACCATCCCAGGTGACTTTGACCGGAGCAATTGGAAGGAGTGGCATTCCACTTTCGCTCTGCCATGGGGTGTATCCCTGGTAGGTTGGCACTGCCACCATAATCACACTGGGCATGTCCACACCAGCTTCATCGCCCTCCATAAACCCAATTGAGTGAACTATCCCCTGTGTCCCATTCACTAAGCCTTGTGCGGTCCAGAGATTCCTTGTCAACATCACCCTTGCCCCGGTTGTTAGGAGTAAAATTCTTGTCAAGCCCTCTGCCTTCTCCTCTGCAGCTTTCTTTGCATCAACCCCAGTGTGCCGAGCAGGAATCCTCAATACAGGTGTAGCTGATTTTATCAACGCTCCCACATTGACCTCCATTACTCGGCTTCTTTCTGAACAGAGACTTGTTGCTGAATAAAACCCTTCACGTTCTTCATATGTGAGACGATCCGCAAATCTTGAAGAAAGAAGGATGTAATCCTCATCATCCACATCCCCAGAACGAAGATGGGAAAGGGCCCTCTTGAACGCCACACTTTCTCTGTCTGCCCCAGCTTGTCTCATAACCTGTCCCAATTCAATACTCTCCACAAACTTCATATACATCTCAAGTCCTTTGTTTTGAAGAAGCGAAGAAGTTGAGGATCCTTCACGCCATATGGAAACGTACAGTGGGGTATCTCCAACAGGTGGAAGCTGACCAAAATCGCCAAAGAGGAGGACACTCAAACCGCCAAAAGGGAGATGGGATGAAGCCGGAAAGATGAAACCAAGCTGAGTGTGAATTCGACCAAAAGCCTTCCTGCCTATCATGCTCTTCTCATCCAAAATAAGATACCAGACATCTTTCCACTCTTCTTGCAATTTTGCCATCCGAGCTGCAGAAAGACCCACTGCTCGAACTTTGTCATCCGGTGATAGTCCGAGAGCAGAGTGATATGTTTGTCCAGCAATGTTGAAAGCGGCAACACCTGTAGGAGCTAGACGTTTGACACATGTTGAAGATGGCCGTAAATTGTTCAAACTCTGTGAGATTGCGTCAATGAGGAAGGATTTGCCCGTTCCTGCTGTTCCATCAATGTTGAGAAGGAAGGGGGCAGGATTGCCAACAAGTTTTGACCGAGCATGGTTTAGCACTTTATTGTGAACACGCTGCTGGGTGCTGTTGAGGAGTGAGATGTCAACCGGTGGGCGGGATAATGGGGCTACAGTCTGAATGTCAGTGGAGAAAACTACTGGCGAGAGAACTGACCGTCTTCTTCCAGTCCTCCAGCGCTTGTATCCTCTCATCTAAGCCCTCCACTCCCCACTGCCGGCTGCATTCATGCCAATCCTTGGCCTTGTCCATATCTCGAAGGCCCAGGCGTTGTGTGATGTCCACCTCGACCTGCCTTCGCCCACCCTCTTGACACATGAGGTGCCAGTCTTCAAGCTCCTGTGCGACATCATTGTCATCATCATCATCTGAGGAGAATTCATCCTCAATCTCATCTTCACCTTCTCCCATCTGGCGCCGTGATCGTTTTGGTAGAGTATCCTCATGGCCCTCAAGATGTGTCTCTTTACATCTTTCATAGGCCAATCCCCATGTTTCACCGTCATCAAGTAAGTCTGACTCTTGTCTATGTGGATGATGAAGGAGGAGTCGAGAACGGCACCAAAGTTCATACTCCTCTGAGTCATTGTGAGAAGGATGGTACATTGGCCAGAGGCGGATGATTCGATCATTCTTCTGCCGGTAAACAATGTTCCCCTGTCGCTTCTCATACCTCTTGTACCATGTGTATAAGCTGACATCTGTGAGGGAGTGTTCCCTCTGGAGATATTGGTCGTACCAATCCTTGTCTTCCACCTCCTCGTCATCCTCCCGTTGGCCTTGCAGTCGTCGGGATCGAGAGGGCAGGAGACACAGAGTCCGAAAGTCCCGAGATGCTGACATCATGTTGCAGTCAAGCAAGGAGTGACAAACCTCCTGTGCACTGTAGTCCCGCTCTGTTAAAACCTTGCTGAGCATCTTCTGAAAGATCACCCGGCTTGATGTCTCCTCTTCCACCTGATTTGCTATAGCTTGCATGACGTCCCCAAATGCAAGGCTGGGCTTCTCTGCCTTCGAAGCATATTTGGCAACATAATTTGCCACAGCATGTGGGTCGGTGCATGGTTGAATGTCCACATTTGCCTGCCATCCTAGGGTAAAGACTGGATTATACAGATTCAAAAGAGAATCGTTGCGAGGAAGCAGCAGCTGTAGAGTACCTCTTTCATCCAAATGTAGGGATGGGGTGTCACATAGATCCCGGGGGAATCTGAACCGGCATATTGGTTCCGTTGAGGGGTCACTCCCTTTTGGTCGTTTGAGACAATATCTTGAACAGCGGGTATGGCGTTGAACTCTATTGAGATGTTCAGCTAGACTTGTGTGATTGTAGGTCATGTCCGCATGAGGTCGGGAAGAAGGATGTTGGGGGGCTCGTGGAAGATTGACACATGGATTGATGGCCCATACTTTATTCTGCCAGAAGTTTATGAACTCGTTCTGAACCTCCTCTCCACCACCCTTCAAGTTTTCCACCCGTGGAGCATCTTCTAGCCAGAGAAGGCCGTGTACATGACCAGAGCCCCGACTCTGCCATTCAAATCTAAACCAAAAGTCCTTGACCTTTAGAAGGGGGGTAATGACATGCTGCAGGAACAGAGCTGCTCGTCGTTGGATCCACCACGCTACCATTGCAGGATTGTTGTTGACATTTGTGGAGTTTATCCTTTGACGGGTGGTTTCATCAAGTGCAGGAGTTGTTGTGGTGGAATGGGGCATGTGAGTATGTAGATCAGCCCACTGAATGTCCGCAGCAGAGAGGGTGATGAAAGCGTGGGGAGTTCCTAGTTGTCGTATCATAGTTTTCAATTCTTGACTTCTTGCAGACCAGTAGGGAGGGGTTCCTCTCAAAGTGCTGGCAACTCTACGAACTCGACTTGCAAGTTCAGTTGAATCGGAAGCAAGCAGTTGCTGGATGTCGGCTGCATTGAGGGCTTGATCATGGTGATTTCGACTGACATAGTAACTGGCAAGTGATCGAGCTTGCCATCTGAGTAATGCATTGAAAGCGTAGTAGCTGTGTCCAATCAGTTGCAGCTGGTTTATCAAGAATTCTAACTCACCGGAACCGAGGGTGAGAGGCAAAACGGCCGTCATGGAATTTCATGAGGTGTTTGAAATAATCGTTGGGCTTAACTTCACTCTGGCGAGATGCGTGAAGGTCTGCAAGACCTTGGGGGAAAAGGAAAGGAAAAGCTTGTACCAGGTGTTGACTGGTCTTGTCGTGTTCGTATAGTGGTGTTGGCCTTAGTGCGGGAGCGGTCAATGGTGCTCTAATCCCTTCTTCAATCTCTTCCAGCCTTGTACGCGTCTCTTCAACCTCCCTAAGTGCACTTCCAACATTTGGAATGACAGCCTCCAAGATGATGTCCTCCCTACCCTCGTCACCAAAATCAGGGATATCTGTTCTTGGGGAGGTGTTATCCACTGATGTTGACCGCAACTGGTCAAAGACTGATCCTTGCTCTGGCAGAGTTGCAAGCACTTCATGATCAATCTCTACTTCAGAGTATGCTGGATGGAACCGGCGGAGAGCAAGCAGATTGTCCAACAACCGAGATCGACTGACTTGGAATTCAGGTCGTCTTGAGAAAGCTTCAACATTTGAAGGTGCTGCTTGTTTGTCCTTGATGATGAGGATATCAAGTTGAGCGGGCAGAATTGGAAGCCGACTGATCAGGGAGGTGTTGTCTCGAGCAAAAAGGCATGTATGACCAGCATATTTGGTTTGTCCCCTTCCAGCAACTTGCCAAATCTGTAGCTGAATATGAACACGGGCCAGGAGCATCTCTTCTATCTGGCTTGGGGGATCTGGAGGTGTTATCCCATTTTGCTGACAGAGGATTGTAAGTGATGGTCCTACCCGGTTAGTGTCGGCCAGGAAAAGGTGACAAGCGTACCTGGGTCCATGTTGTTATTAGCTGTCAATCTTCCTCCTCTCCCTTTCCTGCACCGAGCACATGTATTGTCCCTCACATTGAGATCAAACCACCGTTCATTGCATGCATGACAATGCTCCATTGTGATTCTCCCCAAGCTTTCATGGAAATTATTGATCATGGATACCTCAGATGGGAGAAGGCAAGGAGAAGAGAGTGATGTCGGCTCGGAATTGATGTCAATATGTGATACGTCAGGAAGATCCTCTGGTATGGGTTGCATTGGAGTATGGAATGTCAGGGCAGGGGAAGGAGTTGATGAGGTGACGGGTTGATGGGCTTGCTGTTGAGCACGGTATCTATCCCTCTGTTTCTGTCGGCAAGCAGAACAGGCTTGATAAGGATTGGGTCGATTGGGGTGTTGATAGTCCTCTACAGCTTTCCACAGCCGGCAAGTTGTACATCGTCTTCTTCCTACATGACGGTTGGCACGGGCACGTGCTCCAGGTTGAGCTGGCGGAGGAAGGTTGGGTGGTGGGGTCGGTGGGGTATCATATGGACGTCTGGGAGGTCGTCGATTCTCTCTGACTGGCCGACCCAAAGCAAGAAGGGGTGGTGATGGCCTTGCTGGTGATGGAGAAGTGGGGCGAGGTGGAGAAGTGGGGCGAGGTGGAGAAGTGGGGCGAGGTGGAGAAGTGAGGCGAGGACTGGAGAACCGAGCTCGAGATTGGGCTCTGGAAGAGCGAGGGGTGAGACCATGAATGTCAGGTGAGGTAGGACGGGGATGTGGAGGCTCTGTTATGTCAATAACCTGACATGCTTGACACGATCTTCGTATGCGTCCTTGTGAACCTTGAAATTGTGGAGAGGGAAGCAATGTTTGACATATTGTGCATGCGATAAGACGGTGACGTGAAGACGGGGTTGCAAGCAGAATTGGAGACTTTTTACGACAAAAGCAGCAGCTTTTCCAGAATCGCTGACAATATTTGCCAGAAGAAGCTTTTCGAAAATGTGTGTCGTCAAAGGTGATGTCTGATGGTGCTTGACATTGGTTTTTATTCTGAAGATAACAGTGAAATGGCATGGTGACAATGCCACACGGAGGTGAAGGACGACTGTAGCTAGAATGTACATGAAGCAAAGTTTGAATGTAATCAGAGCCAGCCAATCAGAGCCAGCCAATCAGCTGCTGAGAATCTTCTTCAAAGAATGTGTAGAAATTGATTCCGTGTTCACCCCCATAACATTTGCGAGCTGACGCCCGCAATGAGGGTAGGGTAGACAGTTAATGTTTCCACGTCCGTTGCCTTACTCTACTGGACCGATGGGGTGGAAGGAGAGGTTCCGGTCGGTGGGGCCCCGCGACGAGATTCTCCTCATCACAGTTTGGATCAATGGGAATGAATAAGCTCCAACAATGGGCAAAGGAGTAAATTGGTAGATACTGCCATGCTGCATAGTATTTCGGTGATAGATGAATGGGTAGGTGAGTACGTGAGTAGACAGGTAGACGCAATAGCCATATGCATACAAAGCCTAATCGTACAACAACTCCCACCCCGTCCAATCATCCCTCCGTATCTTTGTAATTCGCCATAGGATCGTCGTACGCTTGTCGAGATAGACGATACGCCTCTATAATGTCAGTTCCTCACGTCTCATATATCACTCTCTCCTTGTTACATTGACCAAACGATGAAGCGGGGGAAAGTGGACTGATTCTTGCAGAGAAAGAAAATTGCAAGGTCATTGTCCATTATACACCGGTGAACAGAAGGGGAAATGTGATGTGTAAAGAAGGAACAACTTACCCAGCTCTTCCTGCGACACCTCCGTAGTCTTCTTCTTACTATCTTTCCAAGCTTCTTCCTCTCCTAACCCTTTCCTCCTCTTTTCCTCTTCTATAGCTTTCTTCAACCTCCCTTTATCCAACTCGACTTCTTCCCCATCTTCTATCCTTAACCTAGTTTGTGCGTAATTGGTAGAAGTGGATTCATCCCTATCTTTACGTTTCTTATCTGATTGATGTTCTATCTCTTCACGAGCTTTCTCAGCTGCTTTACGGTCGGCTTCGGCTTCTGCATCTACTCGAGCCTTTTCAGCTGCGGAGGAGAGAAGAGCAGCAGCGGAAGAAGATTCAGTAGCTGATTTACCAGCTGCACCTGTACAGTATGATCCGGAGACTATATATCAGTTATGATTTCTTACTATGGATGAATTATAGGAACTGGAATGAACAAAGTATAGAAACGAGGGAGAGGAAATTGAAGACATACTGATAGAATGACAACATGCAAAACCCCATTGGGCGGTACTTCGATCGAACCATGATCCCCAAACAGATGTATGATTGTTGATGTACACTATCATGTCAGTGGTTGTTTCGAAGCGAAAGGGAAGAAAACGTACCATCTTCGTCATACTTTGACCGAACCTTGGCTTTCTCATGACCTTTCACGATCTGTCCAGAGCGAGAGTATTCGACGTCTGTTATTTAGTCATTGTCCTCTAGACTCCCGTAAAGATTCAGTAGCGGAAGATACCCAATCGGGGGAGATACCCCAATGATTCAAGGATCCTTGGGAGTAGCCAAAGCAGACAGCAGATGATGAGAGGAGCAGGGAAGGGGACGGAACTAAATAGGACGTCGAGTGAGTACAACTAGAGGAAGCTGGAAAAACCCTCACAATGCCCAGATTCCCCAGTAAGCAATTCTTTTGGTAATCTCTCCAGATGTTCTTCCCCTCCATACTTCGCCAAAATACTAGTCTTGCTCGTATTCTTCAGCACCTCCTTTTTCTGGTTGAACTCTTTCATCAACAACTCCCCCGCTGTGGGATTACCCTGGGCATGGATTGTACTTCCCCGCGCTTCGGATTGCCAAGCGAATAATTGAAGCTTTTGCATATTTGTTGCGTCTCCAGAATATCGTTCAAAGTTATCACCTGCAAAACGTTGCTGACCGTCAGTCCTAACATCTAACCAACCCAGCCGCGTCCCTCGCGCTCCTGCACACACATGTGCGAGGTTAGAAGGAGGTGGAAATGTGAATACGAGACAACTCACATCCTCCAAAGCAACATTCTTCTCCGGTGCATCCCTCATCGCCCTAGTTTTCGGATCATAATAAGCTGAACCAGGATCTAAATTGATCAAATACTTTGCCGTATCCTCTCTTATTCTCAGATTCCTAACGGTCAACCTGGTGTTCGTATCCAACTTCTGTCCCACTTGATCCGCCGCTTCAGCCGCATCAATCTCCACCTCATCTTCCCCATCGCTTGAACCAAATTCATCATCCACCACCTTGTCCTTCTCAGCAGTATCTTTAATCACAATCTTTCCATTATCTTTTTCATCTTCCTTATCCATTTGTTCCTCTCTATACTTTGTTCTAGCGGCTTCAGCAGCTTCATACTCATCCACCACTGTCATTTTGTATGTTGCAGGATCGTAACCATTCCATCGATCCCTCTTAGCATCGTAATCACCTTCAAAAGATTGTATCACTTCATCCGCCACTATATTTTTATTGGTAAATTTAGCTCCTCTCTTTCTTGGACGTTCAACACAATCTTTTTTACTATGTGTCATGGCTCCACAATTTTCACATGCACCCTTTCGATATTTCTTCGCGGCGGGACCAGCTTTGGCCCCTCGATCATACCATTCTTCCAACTTGAGATGAGGAGCTTTATCCTCTCCCAGACGTTGATGTGCGAGTGATGGGGCTCCCGAAGATGGGTCGGCATACCAAGGAGCACGAGAGATGTATTCGGGGATATGAGGGTTGATGGCGTTTCCGTCGGTGTCGGTGGCGGCGGGTGCTGTACCGGCTTTTCGTGCTGTTTCAAGCTCTTTCTGACGTCGAAATTCGGTACGAGAGAGTTTAGGTGCGACGACTGAAAGTATCAGTAAAGATCATATATCTGCAAGGTCGGTTTGAGGGCTTGTGAGATGCAGAGCGTGGATATGGAAGGGGAGGGAACGCAAAAGGAAGCACTCACTAGTGCTCATGACATTTTGCGGGTCAAACACTTGCACCATAGAGTTGTTATTCGCTCCGAACATCGACATGTTGACTAAGGCCCTTGAGGGTGGTGTTCAGTTGACAATAGTAGTATATATACGTCTGAGAAGGTGGAAGAGAGGGAGGGAGATGTGGGAGGAGGAGGAGGATGGAGGACATTGTGCCACTTGACATAACTCCGAATGAAACGCCGATCCCTCCCCGTCGTCTTGCCTACCTCGCCCAACTTTCTTCTTCGATTCACCTTTTTGATCCTACTCGCTACATACCCATATTATATCATTCCTTGGTCATCTGTCGCAACTGAGAGAGTCAGAGTGTAACATCAAACATTATGTGGCGCCCAGCCGCACGAGTGACGGGCACGAACGAAGTGAGTTTCGTTTCCTTCTGGTCGCTTGCCACTCATTCTCTCGCTGACTCATCTACAGGTTCCTCTACCCGCTAAAAGACGTTTTGGTCTTCCTGAAGAAGCTCCCCCTCCTGGTGCTCCTCCCACTAACTTCTCTCGTCCACCTGAGGAGATCAAATACTTTAACGGTCGTCTGGAACGTGACCGAGACGACCGCCCACCACCCCCGAGAGAAGATTACAAACCCGCACCGCCTTATGGCGATTTCAAACCTCCCCCTCCACGTGACGATTACCGTCGAGACGATCGAGACAGACGTCCTGATGAACGCGATGTCAGGAGGGACGATTTCAGACGCGATGATCGTGATCGATACCGAGATGAACCCAAGAGGGACGATAGGTATGATGGAAGGAGAGACGAAAAACGCAAATGGGATGATGACAGTGCTCAACGTGGAAGAGATGCAGCACCAGTAGAAGGTGAGTGCTAATGTCGAATCTTCTCAAACTTACGCTGATATATGTTCAGAAGGACCCCGGAAACGTAAATCCCGTTGGGGTGATGAAAGTCAAAAAACAGATGTACCTGGTCTACCCGTAGCTCTCATGGGGAATGTCTCTCAGAAAGAACTTGACAATTACGCTATTCACGTCCGACTGGATGAAATCAATCGCAAACTCCGAACTGGCGATGTGATTCCTCCCGACGGTCAAAGGTGAGTCGCTTCAACTTGCTGTAGTATCAAGTCGTGATGTTGATCATATAGGTCCCCCTCCCCTCCCCCGGCTTACGACGCATATGGTCGTCGTACCAACACTCGTGATCTCCGTTACCGGAAACGTCTGGAAGATGAACGGGTCAAGCTCATCGACCGCGCTATGAAAGCCGACCCCGGTTTCCGTCCACCTATCGACTTTGGCGGTAACCGTAATCGCTTCGGTCGTCCCCAGGAAAAAGTTTACATTCCAGTCAAAGAATTCCCCGAGATCAATTTCTTTGGTCTTCTTGTTGGTCCTCGTGGTAATTCGCTCAAACGTATGGAACGCGAGTCCGGAGCCAAGATTTCCATTCGAGGAAAAGGAAGTGTGAAAGACGGGAAACAAAGACCTGATGCCTGGGCCGATGATGAGGAAGACGAACTGCATTGTTTGATTACGGGCGACACTGAACATGCGGTCAAGAATTGTGTCGCACTCATCAACAAGGTCATTGAGACCGCCGCCTCGACGCCTGAGGGTCAAAACGATCACAAGAGACATCAACTGCGAGAGTTGGCATCATTGAACGGTACTTTGCGTGATGACGAGAATCAGCTTTGTCAAAATTGTGGTGAGAAAGGTGAGATTTGCAGACGCCTCCTTGTGACATAACTGACCATCAGGCCACAGAAGGTGGGAATGTCCGGCGGCAAGAGTATACTCTGCCAATGTCATCTGTCGTCTATGTGGTGGAGGCAAGTCCCATTTTCACAGCATCAATAGGAGCTAACTCTCGTAGCTGGTCATATGGCCCGAGACTGTCGTGGTCGTGGTGATCCTAATTTGGCCAAGAACACTCAGTCACAGTTCGATTCCGAGTATTCCGCACTTATGGCTGAATTGGGTGAAGGAGGACAGCCGGGCGCTCGCCCAGCGGGTTCGATCCAACAGCCCGACCAGCAACGTATCCCTCCTTGGCGTATCCCGGAGAATTGGCTTCCTAGTGAGTATGGCTTGCCTATTTTTTCTCCTCGCCCCAAACAACATGAACTCTTCTTGTCACCTACACCTAGCAACGTACTGTCATTACTGGCTTTCACTAAATCACTCACCGTTGGTATCTCAACTATGACAGAGTCCCTTTTATGGTGACAAGACGATGCAAAACGGGCCATTGACTTACTTGCAGCTGCTCGTCCTCCTTACAACGGCCCCCCTGGTCAGCCAGGCTATGGCGGTGGCGGGTACGGCCAACCGCAAGGTGGGTATGGTTACGGCGGTCCAGGTGGACCTGGAGGGCCTGGTGGTCCGGGAGGTTATGGAGGTCCTCCTGGTGCTGGCGGTGCTGACCCTTACGCTTCGTGAGTTGTTTTCTCGCATCGATAGTCTCTCTCCCTGCTATCTCAACCAACCAGTGCCCGCTCTCCGCGTACGTACTTTGCGTGGCCAACCCTCCCCCTTGAAATGACAGTGGCGAGGGATTACGAGGTGATCACTGGGACATGGTTCACGAGTTGTGCTGATTCATAGATACTATCAAAACCTCGGTCAGCCACAGGCAGCCTAACATGTCTTCGAAAACAACCGCTGATCCCTCCACGGGAAGAATCTTGAAAACCTGACAAAAGCGATTGTGGAAGCTGAGATTGATGTGACATATAGGGAAATAGCAATTGACCATGTTAACTGGATGTGAAGTTGGCTGATGTATACCTTCCGTTCATGGCGCGGGCGTCAAGTCTAGTAGTTGCGCTAGCATATAGGCATAGCCTCGGTTTCGTTTTCCACCGCCAAGTACAAATCCAACATATCATTTCCGGTACGAGAGGTAAGATTGAGAGAGCAGGGCTGAGTACTGCTCGCAGCCCGCAGTTATCGAGCATTTGCCATTTATCAAAATCCCTATGCCCCGGGTCCATAACATCTCCACTCGGCCAAAAAAATAACTTCACGTTTCACATATCGGAGTTGAGGAAGAATTCCGATTTTAACGGATGTCGCTTTCGACAGGAAGATGCTCCCACATCTCTTCGAAGATATCTTAGTTGCAATATTGTCCCGTGCTTTCAAGCAAACGTTTCGAGGACGAGGGTGATATCTCTCACAATGGACATGCGACAACTCTTCTCAAAATCAAAACCAATAATGATACATCATAATAACCCCAGATACCCAAACAAGATGAAAAGGATCATTGTCCATGGATACACCCTCAAATTTACCGAACTCGAAGGGAGATAGACCGGTACGTCCTTAACATTCCCTCCTGTTCCTCCAGGAGTACCATTCCCACCCTGTCCACTCTTCACAGTATTCCCCCCGTTGCCATTCACATATCCGCTAGATGATAGTCTGCCGTTTTGATTGTTTTGCCCGGTTCCAGGATTACCCTCATCTACTTCGGTGTTGATCCCTACATTGGTCGTTACCGTTTGTCCCTTGCCACTTGATCCCATTGATTCTATTTGTCCCATTTGACTTGTTCCTATCGGAGTACCCGTCTGTTTCAACTCTTCATTTCGGTTTCCCATTCCACTCGCTACGTTGGATATCACAACTCCACCACTCGGCAAATTTGATTGATTAGTCCCTGCTTCTCCCACATCATCACTCGCCGTATTGGACTGACTTGATTGACTTATCTCATTTGTATTCGTTATAGGTTGTAGGTTTTCCCCAGGAAGAGGTGAGACGGTTATGTGTTGTGGTTGAGATGTATGACATATAATCTTACATTTCTCCACCAATGTTGACACCCCTCCCCCTCCTTCTCTGATGAATTGTTGATTTTCTCTCGTTTCCATATCCGAATGAGCAAACGTTTCTCCACTCCCCAATCGGGGATACATGGACGATACACTCTCACCGGCTGATCTCGGATGACTGATATGTGGATCAGAATTGGGTAAAATCTGATCTTGTAACCCTTTTCCTAAATCTGGCGAAGGGATAGAAACAGTATCAATATCACCCGAACCCCCTGAGGAAGTCATGGGAACTGGTGCAACATCCACAGCGTTTGGGGAGTTGATAGAGGGTAAAGAAGATGTAATGGAATAAGGTGCATATGGTGAAGTCGAAGAAGGAACGAATGGTGGTGAACATGGATCAATGGGATTGGGTAACAATATACAAGTTTGTAATTTCGCAGGAGCCGGAGTGGAGGGTGATAATGAAAGAGAATTGTTTCCCAAGTATAAGGTCGTAAGAGAAGAGAGGGATGAGAGATCGGGTATGGGACCGATAAGAAGGTTTGAACGTAAGTCTAAGTGTTGGAGGGAGGGTAAGGTGAGATTGGGGAGGGAAGTACTGAAAGTAAGTTATATTTTTTCATCTACACTTTGGATAACACTCAAAGAAGGGACTTTTCCGACTTTTCAAAGTCGCCAACTTGTTCGAGGTGTGAGGAAGATAGGGTGACAGAACAAAAAGCAAAATTTGGGATTTGATGAGTGATATCCGACTAAGTCGGTCTTGACTGCCCCCCCCCCCCCCCCCTCCCCCCTAACATGACGGTTTCAAACACAGCGTCTGGATTTGCAAATCGGTCAATTCGTAAAAACAAAAAAGTCGAACATGAAAAATGAAAAGATATTCGATGGACTTACAGACTACCCATCAGCTCCGTTTTCTATCTTTGAAGGGACTTACGAATTAAATGATCCATCAAAATAAACCAACTTTCCCAACCCTTCGAGCTGTATACTCCCACTCAATTGATTATACCCCACGTTCAACCTCTGAAGTCCTGTAGCCGACGTCAAATCCACCGCGGTCAGTTGGTTATGCGCAAGGTTCAGATTATTCAGTGTCGTCGAGGTAAACGATGCGGATCCGGAAAGATCGTTATTTGCTAAGTCCAGAGTTTGAAGAATGGGATGTGAGAGGAGAGAAGAGGGGATTTCTCCGGAGAGAGTTGAGTTGGTTATGGTTAAGTGGACTAGGTGAGTGAGATGGTCAAATTTGTTGGAATTTGAGAATGACAAAGAATTGGAGGAAAGGTCACTGATTGTTAGTCTCCCAATCACGCCAAAAGATTTCACTCTTTCGCTCTTGTCACTCTTATGCAATGTCTCTAATGGCCATACTGGATTCCCCAACTTCGAAAGGCTCTGCAGGGCAGCAAGGAGGAGATGTTGTGCGCTTAGCGGAACAGTGCCGAGGTGTGGAAGTGGACTTTCCCGATACTGGCTTACGACTGGGTATACAGACAGAATTAGTTTGACTCACAGGCTGATCAGACTTTGGAGAGAAAACAAAGAATCCGGTATCGTCCCTTCCAACCCATTCTCCACAAGATCGAGTTTCTCAACTTTTCCACTTGGACCACAAGTCACTCCGAACCATGTACAACAATCTGAACCCGATGTCCAGCCAGTTTGGTTGGACCATGATTGTCCTGAGAGAGAATCGTATAGATCGTTGAGAGCCGAACAATCGGACGATGCTTCAGAAGCTGTTTGGGTTGGCTGATTTGACTTTGTGAGGGTGGGAGATTGAGTGGAGGAGATGTGTTTCAAAGTGGAGGTGATGGCGTGGTTTCTGGAGTTGCTGGGAGATTTGGATTTCGTGAAAGAAGGTGAGTCATTATTTTGTTCCTCATCACTTCCATCTGCGTCATCGGAGTTCTTTTGGCCTTCTTCGTCTGGTTGCGCTGAGGTTTCTTGGGTTTTGTCACCCTTTCCCTTGTTGCCTTTTCCACGAAGGACATCTTTTTGTTCGGAAGGTGTGTCGTCGTCATTACCAACATCAGAGTCGCTCGTTTTCCCTTTTCCTTTTGGATCTTGAGTTACGTCTTTCTCGTCTGCCTCGCTAACCCCACCTTTCTCTCCTTCTTGGTCGTTCCCGTTCTTCCCTGTCCCCTCTTTGACTTTATCCGAACTCCCTTCATTCTCTTCGTCCTCTTTGTCCTTCTCATCTCCATCATCTCCCTGATCATCGCCATCCTCTTCATCGTCGCCTTCAACATCCTCTTCTCCGTCATCACTTCCGTCGTCGCCGTCCGACTGATCATCTTTCCCCTCTCCTTCTTCCTTGTCGTCATGTGATTTACCTCTTCTCTTCAGAACAGATTCGACCTTCAGATCTCGCTTGCCAAGCACTTCACTGACCACAGCTTGCGACAAAAACGATTGATGTTCCGACAAAACGAGTCCTGAAGGACCTAAAAACAAACCCGATATGGTCGTCTCTTCTTGAGGCATGTCAACTTCTGTCTCGATCACCGTGGGGACTTCGAACGATTCGAGATCAGAAGGACTGATGAACATGCCTCCTGGACCGAACCACAAATTCCACACTACCTCACTTGCCTCAACAACCTCCCTTTTTCGCGTATTGTCATTCGAGCTTTCATCTTCTGTTCCTGGACTACCATCGTCCATCTGACCTCCATCTGTCCCGGGTGAAGAAGAACTGGAATTTCCAGTTGGGGAGTCATCTCCTGCACCTCCGATATCGGCATTATCACCAGAAGTGTCATTCCCTCCTCCATCGTTTGTCGTGTTGTCGGTCTGCGTAGAAGGTTGGTATTCGGCCATGGATGACTTTTCTTCCGAACCTTCATCAGTATCGTCATATTCGACACAATCCGGGTCATCTTCATCGTCGCACATTACCCACCCGCAATCCATCTCTCCCTCTCCGATCGAACTCGAGTCAGTTGCATTACTCGTCTTGTTTCCATCCCTCTCCCAGAGCGCGACCATCTCCCCCGTCGATGCGGAACTTGAACCGATGATCTCTGGTTGTTCTTCGAGGACACCATTATACCACTCCGCTTCCCTTCTCCCGAACTTCCCAGACCTCGTACTCCAATGAACATTCTCTCTCAGGGGATCGGGAAGACCTTTATGGACCAACACTCCCTCCAGACCCAGAAGAGGATTGAAGGATTTCCAGTTTTCACTCAATGCCCAAGAAGTAAAAGTTGGAGGTCTTCTGGGAAGAGAAGAGAGTTGTCGTTGTTTTCCATTTGATCGCTCTGATGGTCTTCCTGCTCGAATAACTGCTTTCGGGTCGTCGGATGATACCTGAGGGACAGAATGTGATGAGGGCTGAATGGAGAGGATAGGACTAGGGTCAGTGGAGAACGGAAGAGAGAAGGGTATTTGGAAAGCGGCTATGAGGGACACAGGGAGGATGAGCAGGAGACGCATGTCGGTCTCGCCTTGTCGCACTCAGTGATCACGACGATGCAAGGGATGACGAGAGGGTGAACTGTGAAGCAATTGAGGGAGGAGACAGTGTTTCTGACACCTTGCAAGGGGCGACATGCAGACATGTCCGAGATGACGAGGTTGGACATCATTGTGACTTCCGGTTCCATCGAGGACGATCGATGATTCCGGGCGAATTGTTCGGAAGTGGCAAGACGACAGATTGCTATCCATCGTCCGAAGCTTCAACCCTATTGAGAAGGCATGGAATCCCTATGACGTTCCCTATGCCTTGACATCAGGTCGAATGTTGACAAGACTTGGAAGGCTCATGAATGCAAGCTTTGAAACCTACCCGCGTCATGTCCACCAGACGACAGACGACCAACCTGACGACCTTCATCTGAGGTCCGTGGACTAGGACATCTTTTGTTGTCATGACAACGTCTATCATGAATCAGCTTCTCTCATCATAGTACATCATTCCACATCTCCTTTCTCACCTGATGTATCGTTGATCCGTCCGTGATCTGCCGCTCCGATCAACACGGCCCATCCCCAATGCGTCATGGTCTTGGCAGTCGAGGCCCATCCCGGTGCGGTCGGTTCTGCTAGATGCTGTGTTCTCAGCGTCCCGGTCATATGGGAAAGCGGTCATACCGCGTCTTTCAATCACGTCACCAGAGTTTTACACCTCTCCTTCAGGGGTTAAAACCTACACAGCTCTCCTGAAAAATCTCCCATCCACATTGCATATCTGAAACATTCTCAACTACTTATCAAACCTTAAACAACAGTGATATTTCAAATGGTGGAGTGAGTCCTCCTTCTTCTGCACAATATAGCTGATGTTGTCAGCGGTGATGTTGCTTACCTTGACTTGTCAAAGGCTCCAGTTTCGGAATTCTTTCAGTTTGATGACTTTCAAAATCTGCAGCTTGGACAATCTGATGAAAAGATATCATTGAAGTCTGAGACTCTTGATGCTCTCATCACCAAACAGATTGGAAGAGTGACTGCCCAATCAACTAGCAATCAAGTTGATGTTGAGCAGAGAAGAGAAAGAGCATCAAGAAGATTAATCAGTGACTTGGAAGATGTAGGCCAGCTACCTGTGATACAAGAGGACTACCATGATAATGTCACACAGACCACAATACAGTTGCTTGCCTCCCCACCCAACGAGCCTGATATACGCATGGTGATGTTGCGTAATACAGTGGGTCGCGGGAAAGGATCGAACAAAATCGTACCTTGATCGTGTCCATCAGTTTCATGTCGTGTACTTATGTTTACCTGTTTCGTCGCATGCAGGGATCATCTCATGTTCTCTACTCAATCTAGTCTTCTTCCTGAGTATTCAATCATGCCTGGCAAATGTTTTTCACCCGTGACACGTGCAAGAATTGCTCAAAAAGCGTTGACTTCCACCTATCGGGAGGTAGCAGCTGAACATGGATGTTCTCTCGATACTATCTCGCGTCTGGTCACCCAGTTGCGACAGACTGGTGATACCTCCCGTTCTAAGCCTACCGGTCGACCCTCACGCTTCACTCCTCGCACCCTTAGACGTATCGAAGTTGTTATCAAGCAGAATCGTGGCAAGGGATGGAAGGAACTAGTTGGTATCCTCAAAGGGGAAGGGATCAGCATCTCTCTCACAACCTTACGCGTCATAATGAAACGTCTCGGCTTCAAACGATGTGTCGCTCGAAAGAAACCATTTCTCACCAAACGTCACAAGCGTATCCGCCTTGAATATGCAAAGAAACATCAACAAGACAGTGTAAACGACTGGAGGAGGACCATTTTTGTGGATGAAATGTGTCTCAAACTGAATTGGTCGTCAAAGTCGTATGTGACGCGTAAAGAGGGAGAGGAGTATCTGGATGAGTGTCTTCGGCCTAAGTTTATGGGTGGATGGAGTTCTTGCATGATATGGGGAGCTATATGGTATGGGGGACGGTCGGAATTGGTCATGTTTGACACAAAGGATAGTGAAGGAGAGAGGAAGGGGATCACTGCTAAGATCTATCGAGACCAGATAACGAAGGGACCCCTTAAAGCGGCTTGGACTTGTGTTAACAATAAATGGCGAGCCTACGGTGGTGCTAGGATAGTGGAGGACAATGTACCGCTTCATACTTGCGACCAAAATCGAGATCAAGCGAAGAAACAGCGATTTCACTATGTTGATCATCCCCCCTCCTCTCCAGACCTCAATCCCATCGAAAACTGCTGGTATTTTCTCCGCCAGAAGATCTGGCAGCTTCCTAAGCGTCCCACAAATAAGAAGGAACTGTTCAAAGTTGCACAAGAAGTGTGGAAGGAGATGCCTCAGGAAGTGATAGACAGGACTATTGATAGCATGATAAGGAGGTTGGAAGGGGTGATCAAAGCGAAGGGTGGTGTGACAAAATACTGATCAGGTGAGTCTCTCCTTTTGCCTATGCATAGAACCAACCCTGATCGACAGTTCTACCAATTCTCAAGTCATTACATGGACACATGCATGAGTTATTGACGATCGAAGAGAAAAACATGCAAACGCACGGATTTGACGCGTGTTCGATCCTTTCCCGCACCCCACTGTACTTGTCATCCTGGCCTTGGTTACCGTCTGGTTTATTCACATGTCCATGTGGAGGTGTCAACAAAACAGGACTCTCACCTACCAATCCTTTGGGCTCTACCAAGTCTTCATGAAGAGCCAAAGAGTATCACGGTTGATTCTGAGAAAAACAAGGAGGCATCTGCTGGGCTAACAGGTGGACCAAGCATAGTTGGTTCCCTGGCTTTGAATGTGAAGTCCAATTCCACCAAACACACCACTGAAGAGGTCTCTCCATTTCAGATTGTGGGGACAATCACAACAAAAGACTCCAATGGCAGGCAAGGACCTTCCCTTGTCAGATTTTCAGCCCACGCCAGCAAAGCAAGTATGACTGGCATAAAACAGTGGGAGGCCATGTTTGCGTATCGGTTGGCACCAGAGCAGGTCACACTTAACTTTTCTGCAAAACACATCTATGAAAGTACAGTATTGCGGCAGTCAATGGACCTTTTACGTACTTTGACAAGCGGATCCACAATGACTCGAACAGTGGTTGTTGGAGAGGGGTCCACATACACAGCTCACACTTTGCAGAACCGTCCACTTCCACCTTCTGACAATGAGGAAAAGATTCTTGAATATATGGGATATAAGATTGCTCACAAGCAACACAGTACTGCTGGTCCCTGCTCTTCTGAGCCAATCACTGAGGGGTGATACAGCAGTCTCACATGTGTCACACCTTCTGGGAGTGCTTTGGAAGTGGCTGTCAACCATGTGGGCCAGCCTGAGAGGGTGTGTTTTATTACAGGGTGACAACGACTTGCAGCAGTCCCATTGAACTCAACGGATTAGGATGGAGAAGGACAAAAACAGGGAGGCAGCGCTGCAGTAGGTAGGGATGGGTTTTCCCCTGTTGAGATTTTCCCCAATGGGTTTTCTCAAAGCGGTTTTCCACCTGTCCAAGTTTGTACATAGACACTTGCAGCATGTCACAAAGTGTGTGACAAGCCGGGCAAAAATTGGGGAAGGGTATCTAACCAGCGATCAGCGGTAGGGTTAACCGCCAATTAATAGGCCCTTTCGTCACAGTTTTTCTCTTTCCACCTTGGCTAAGTGGTTAAACTGTCTGGTCATTGATGGTGGAATGGGAACTGTCAGTGTAATGTGGTCATGGTTTCAATTCCCATGCCCAACAAGGGGTTCTCTCCGGAGTGCCCGGTTCCCCTTGCACATGAGTCTGTGCAAGCCATTCATGCTATAGTTCTTATAGTAGGCTTGTTTTAGCGCTGGGCTTGATGCCTTGTGCACAGCAGCCTCCTCCCGAATCAGGTTAACAACTGTCACGAACCACGTCGTAACATCCCTGACAACTACCATCACCGACCCTTCTTTCACCATCACCAACCACCACCCGAACCACTGAGACCGACTACAGCAAAGTTACGGGAACCTAGAGGGTATTTGTCACAATAACCCCGCCTAATGGAGAACTACGGCGAGGTTAGGAGACGAGAACCAAGGGAGAGCTGAGCAGGGGGAGTTAGACGAAGTTTGTCGAGGTGAGCGGAGTAGGGTATCGGGGATATGGTGAGGAACAACAAGGTTGAGCAAAGAGGACTGAGCGTGAGGCTGTGCAGGAGTTGAGGGACGTTCTATGAGAAGAGAGGGGAGTATAGATAGTTTACAGATCACTGAACTTCTTCAGCGATCCTTGATTGTTGTCAGTAGCGAGAGATATATTCAGTAGCTACGACCATCGAGTTAGGGAGAGCTACCGCTGAACCGTTTGACGTATTACGGTGTCAAGGATACTGCCCACCCTGGGACAGAGGACAAAGGACAAGGGGACAAGGACTAGGAGTGACAAGGAATATACTTAAGATAACAAGACTGAGTCCAACAAGGAATGGGACTGTGACCCAAGGAATGTCTCTGGCTTGTCTAACAAGACTAGGAAGGACTTGCACCGGAACTGTAACTGGACTGGACTGGACTCAAAGAAAGGGTGGCAATGGAAATGACTTTTGATCAAGAACTAAAGAAGAACTATGTAAAACTATGAGGGGTTTATATCTATAAAACAGGTGTTCGACCAGGTGGAGTCGTCCTGCGTAGGAAACCGTCGTAATCCTTGCGTTCCCTACTGTTTTCTAACTAACAGCAACTGACTGCGCCCTGTTCTCGCCGTGCTGCGTACAATACGCTGTTGACTGCACGCAGAAGTACGCATGACAACGTAAACCATACGTTCGCCTAAAATCTAACTATACTAAAGTCTTGGGTCTCATGCCATACCAGGCATCATAACTGAGAATAACATAACTAACTTAAGGTTCAGGTCTCTTGCCTCAAAGGCATCAGAGCAGAACTAAAACATGCGGAAACTGATACTTGTGATTCATGACATACGGCGAAGTTAGCCGCAGTCCATCGACAATCACCTTATCATTCACCACTCGACGTAGTACTACGGCGAAGTTAGCCGTAGTTCCCTCGACGAGTACCCTGTCCTAGTGAGACATCAACACCCCACTATGACATAGTTAGCCGAGGTTTGTCGACCGTCGGTCAGTAGAGAAGAAGAAACGACGATTGTGACAACAACACTGTCATGTTGGGCACTGTTATATTGGGCCAATGCTGGTTAGTTGGTCCTCGTGACAGATTAATTGGCGGTTATGGGTAGGGTCCTGGGTTCGACTCCCGGACGGCGCCGGGGGTAACTCAGCCCCTACTTGGAAAACCTCCCTCTCGGAGTAAGTTTTCGGTCTGTTGTACCCTTCCCAGTGTGGGGGCCCAAGAGGGTGCATGATGTCACAAAGTGTGTGACAAGTCAAGCCAGAATTGGGGAAGGGTATTTAACCAGCGATTGGCGGTAGGGTTAACCGCCAATTAATGGGCCTTTTTGTCACAGTGGTTAACAACACTGTCATGTTGGGCTGTCACGACTCGGACAAGTCGCGCCACCATGACTTATCAAAACTCATTGAGTTACCCTGAATTCAATGAGACTCGGTGAGTTATCCTGAAAACTCATTGATACTCATTGAGACACAATGAGATAATGAGGTTATAGGGGAAAAGG